GGGAGTAAGTGAAGATGGGGGGTGTAAGTGAAGGGGGGGAAAGTAAGTGAGGGGGGAGTAAGTGAAGGAGGGGGGAGTAAGTGAAGGAGGGGTGTAAATGAAGGAGGGGGGAGTAAGTGAAGATGGGGGGTGTAAATGAAGGAGGGGGGTGTAAATGAAGGAGGGGGGAGTAAGTGAAGGGGGAGTAAGTGTGTAACAGAACTATGCTGTATGCCTGGGCCAGTGAACTAACCAAAATCAGCAGGAATTGGTCACATTTAGTGCATTGCAACCATTCGAATGGATTCGCATGAATTCCCTGTGTAAAGTATAGGTGGCCGCCATTTCGGGACTTTACACGTAGCCGCGGCCATCTTACGTGCGAACAGCGGTGTTTGCCTGTCGACGCGTGGAACTAAAATCGGATACGCAAATAGGCGAACACCGCTGAGTCCTCCATACTTCCAGAAGTTCGCACGGAAACTACCGAATCACCGGACGTTCGGTAGTTATGTTCAATCATCTATGGGGATTGCGGCGAACCCCGAGATTCGAATGGATGGCAAGAATTTCATACCTTTTTACCAGGCGAACGGAGACCGACCGCGAGGCCAAAACTCATGGAACTATTTTCGGCTAGTTGGTCTGTGCGGTCGGTCAAAACTTTGGAACTCTGTATCTCCCGAACTATTCATCCGAATGGGCTGATTTTTGGACATGTTGGTCCCCTGAATGAGAGCTATCAAGCGACCCCGGATTTAAAGCTGTACCCCCTGTTTTGGGGAACATCCAGAACTGGGGTAAAATGTTGTACGTTTTAATTATGTTATATGTTATCTGAGGGGAGGAGACGTGGGGGTGTTACCAGGTATATGATTGGGTGTTTTTATCCTCCCTCTGGGAGTATCCTGTGTGTACCTGATCCCAATAAAAGCAGGCTGGGTGTTCCAGTCCTCAGATCTTCTTGACCCTGCAAAACGTAGCCTTGTCTCGTTCTTGGAAGGGGATTATTTGGGAATGTTATTCTGCTCCTGTTACAGCTGAACCTGACTCTTACTCTGGATATCGTGGATGGGATTATACCAGCTTACTTCTCCACAGCAGCTTACAGGGAAAAAGGACGTCACCAACGGCAGATACCCTCACTCTACCCGGGTAGCCGTTACATTGGTTGGCAGCGGTGGGATGGTCCTTTTATCCAGAGAACAAGTGCTGAATGGAGGCTCAGTACGTCAAGCTGAAAAGACCCACATTAAAGGATTTATTGGAGAGTCGTGGTAGGAGTGCCAGCAACAGACCACGGAGGGAGCTGATAGCTGACCTACTAGAACTGGACGAAATGGATAGGTCTATGGAGGGAACAGAACCTCTTGCACCTGTCAGCGAGGACGATGAAATTTCTGCCATTGTACAGCGGAGATTAGCTTGGTATCCAGAAAGATCCACGGAGCTAATAAACCAGCTGCTCCGGGAAACAAGGGAGGAGATACAAACTAAGAGGGGACAAGAAGCGGAACTGGTAAGAGCTAGACAGCCCATTACACAGGCAGTTCCTACCCCCCCCACCCGCTGCTACAGGGAGGAAAATACCGTTCACTGCATTTAAAGCGTTTATAGAGAATGAAGAAGAAATTGACGGATATTTAGCGGACTTTGAGAGACAATGCTCGCTACACCAAGTACCACCAGACCAATGGGTTACTATTCTGGCTGGAAAGCCCTCAGGAAAAGCAAATGAGGCTTTTCGGGCACTTACTACGGAAGATATAACGCAGTATCAACGGGTGAAAGCTGCACTACTCACCCGATATGCGGTCACCCCAGAAGCATATCGCCGTCGCTTCCGGGAGTCCAAAAAGAAGGCAGTGGACTCCCACATGGAATGGGCCAACGAGATACAACGGGTGGCAACACACTGGGTGCGAGGGTGCAATGCTAACACCGGAGAAGAAATATTACAGTTGTTCTTGATGGAACATTTCTTTCAAGATCTGGCTGCAGATATACAGGACTGGGTAAGAGATCGGCGCCCTGCCAATTTAACTGAAGCAGCGCGACTAGCAGATGAGTATGCAGAAACAAGGAAGGTGAGCCAAAGTAACACACGACCAGCCCCTAGAGCAGAGGCCCGCACTACAACCTACCCTGCACGCACAGAATTTCGGGCCCCAGTACCCCCAGGGCCTCCACGTCCCCAGGGGCATAACAACCATCCCCGGGAATCTTACAAAGTAACGTGCCATCGCTGCGGCAACACAGGACATATTGCCCGGTATTGCCCGTTGGGATCAGCCAATAATAACTGGAGGCGCCCACCTGTAACGGACCGTTTTGCACACAAGGGGTAAAAACCGTTTAGGCGATCGGCCCCCTTTCCAGAGATACAGGCACAGCTACTGCAGAACACCAAAACTCACGAACTTGATACAAAATAGCACTCCAACTCCCGAACTGGAACCTCCCAAATAGCTGCTAGCAGACGAACAGGAAAAGCAGACAATCAGCTTACACTCCTGGCAATCAGTCTCTAACAGCATACAGTGAATCCCCCCCAAGAATGAGACAAGGCTCCGTGTTGAGGGTCAAGCAGTGGTCTGAGGTGCTGGCACACCCAGCCTGGTTTTATTACAGTGTTTCAAATACAGGACCACCCACAGGGAGGGATAAAACAACCAATCATATCACAGTTACATCCCACATATTCCCTCCCCTTATCCTGAGAGGAAACTCAATTATACAAACAGTTAAAACATACTTTCTACCCAACTTTCATAACTCCAAAACCGTACATCACATTCACATAAAATTACATATTCTCAATCAATCCATTCAGGGGAACAACATATTCAAAAATGGCACAAATCAGACAAGGGGTTCAAAAGTTAGCAAAAAGTCCTTTGTGACTAAATGAAGCATGGCTTTCTGGCCCAAACCAGTTTCAGAGTCTTCTATCCTGGAGATAAGTAATTCAATTATCTCCCAGGACAGACACAAGACTCCATTAAGCACATGGTTGCAAAAGACACAAAACACTTTAAAATACATAAAGTCACCTTTTATACATAAAACACAGACATTTCACATATCCCCAGATAGCTCAGGTCTGAGCGCACATTATTAAGTGAATGGCGCTCAGACCACACGAATACAGTTTAATCGCCATGGAGCCAAAGTCTTTACAGTCAGTTTCATACGAATGGGCTCCATGGGATTCCTATCTGGGGTGTAACACATTCAAACAAATCTACTGAACCCCAGGCAGAAAAGCACGAATACAGCTTTTCTGCAGGCAAAAATAAAGTCTTTAAAAAGGGGGCCATAGTCCAAAGGCAGCAGGCGAGCAACCAGGCTTCTCCAATGCAATGTGGCGAGATTGGTCTCGTCACATCTCTCCCCTTTTCCAAACAGACTAACAGGGTATCTGACCTCCTGCCAGTCAGTGCCCTTGTTAGTCCAGCAGCCCACCCACAACAAATAATCAACAGCACAGCCCACCCACAATGAATGGTTACTACACCTGGGTAAAGGAGAAGCTTGTCCATGTCCAGGTGCCTCACCACGGCTGTGCTGGGTACGGGTACGCTGACTTGGTGGGTTGCTGCGTGGGCAGAGACCAGCGGCACTCTGCCCTGCTGCCAGCGCTACTGGGAGGGTAGCCTGGTGGAAGCCTGGTTGTTGGAGGGGGAGACCGACTGTCTCCCCTTTAAATACACCGCTCTGCTGCTGCTGCTGGAGACTGACTGTCTCCCCTTTAGATGCACAGTCCTGCTGCTGGAGACCGACCGTCTCCCCTTTGGTTGCCCATCTCTGCTGCTGAAGGGGGAGACCGACTGTCTCCCCTTTGGCTAAACAGCCCTGTCGCTGGGGGGCAGGACCGACCGTCCCTACCCCCTGTGCTGGCAGTGTAGAGACTACGGTCCCATCTGCACAGTTGTGGGGCTTACTGTCTCCCCCTGATACATTAAGCTGCCGCTGGGGAGAGGGGGTAACAGGCTCCTCTCCCGATAGAACACTCTGCCGCTGGGGAAAGGAGACTGAGCTCTCTATTCCCTGCCCATTAATGATCCACCGCTGGGGAGAGGTGGTAGCAAGCTCCTCTCCCATACATACTTTCATCCTCTGTGGAGGGAGACCGACTGTCTCTGCTCCCAATACAGTGTCCTGCTGCTGGGAAAAGGAGACTGGGCTCTCTATTCCCGGTAGGACACTCTGCCGCTGGGGAATGGAGACTGGGCTCCCAATTCCCTGCTGTATCTCCCGCTGGGGAATGGAGACTGGGCTCCCAATTCCCAAAAAATCATGCTGCTGCTGGGGGGCAGGAACAACTACCTCTGCCCCCTGTAGCCCAGCCTGCCGCTGGGGAGGGAGGACGCTGCTCTCCTCTCCCTGCACTTTACACTGCCTTCCCGGCATATCACTTGGCTGCTGGGGGCAGGAACAACTACCTCTGCCCCCTGTATCTCAGCCTGCCGCTGGGGAGGGAGG